ACCGGGGAGTCACAAAAGAGGTGACCAGCGAAAGAGCGGCGCGATACTCTCACCGGATCGCAAGATAGCGCGTCAGAGTCACAAGGTGGTGGAACCGTGCGTGCCGCGAGAATAATAGCGACGCGGTCCGAACCGGGGAGTCACGAAATAGGTGACCAGCGAAAGAGCGGCGCGATACGCTCACCGGATCGTGAGTTAGCGCGACAGGGTACCGAGGTAGTAGAACCGTGCATGCCGCAGAGAATTTAGCGACGTGATCCAAACCGCGAGATCAAAAAATAGATGACCGGCCAAAGAGCGACGCGATCCGGCCACCAGGAGGCCAGTTAGACAACCAAGCGTCATCCGCGGGGAAAACCCAGCGGGTCACCCTCAGCGGGACATGGGACACCCGAAGAACAGGTCGCCGCCAAAATCCGGTCACCCGGACGCGAGATACGGCAACATGTCGCTCAAACTCGATACCCGGACGTCGTCCACAGGGACTGAGTCCGGAATCGGGTTAGTAGGGACCACGAAAGCGAGACCCGGGGGTCGCCGTCAACGGCGGACGTCGCGATCGCGACCTAGACATTTTCCTCGAGAAGTTGACCCGGGGTCACCTAAAGTGAGGTAAAAGAAGACGTGCGCACGGGTCGGCGCCGTCGTAGGGTAAAAATTACGAGTGGTGGAAAACCACTGTCCGGGGATCGATTCAGGGCGTCGCGTACATGGTACTACCAGTGGAAATTTCCACCGCGCACATCTGGTACTGCCAGAAGTTGTCAACACCTATTGTAACTGCGTAGCGGCGAACATCTGGCGCACACCTGGAGATCCGAAAGTCGTAAACACCTATTGTTAACGCGGAAAACGGAAAATTACCGCGAGGAGAAAGCGGCCGAGACCCCATGGTGGGGGTAAAACTTCGGAGGTAGGGAGCCCGAGAGAGGAATATTCCTCGAGGCAGTCTGTCGTGGGCGCTCGTTGGTATAACTTTTGTCTCGCGCGTATATCTCGGCGTGTCGTTCGAATTATCGCGATTACGTATCGAATTACGAATTTAACGTACCACAGCGTCCGAAACAAACGGCAACGCCCGCAAAACGCGTTACTTGTCGCCGATACGAAAGGCGAAAGGTTTTGACGTACCGTAAACGAAAACTTCGCACTTTGCGAGACGTGCGACCGCCATCTTGTGCGGGAACAACAATTGTGAACAACCATCTGTGTGAAACGACAATCATGAATAAATGGAAGAATCATTTGTGATAATAAATACGTAGTTATCGATTTCTTACCTTCTACTTACCTGATCAAGCGGAGTGTCGCGCCATCTTGCGAAGGAGCCCATCCGGATCGTAAATTATCATCGGGCCTGTTTCGGAGAAGGTCATAGATGAGGACCCCGTGGCGGAAATCTAAAAAGAAACAGCATTAATTATAGTTCTGGCGACAGTTCTCAGAGTGACGCGGTATTTTCTATACGCGGTGATCCGGGACGGCGGTGACAGCGGTGATCCATGACATCGGCGATGGTGATGAGGACCGTGTAGCGAAAACCTGAAAATAAAAGAGAATTAGTTAGTTATTTGAACTTTTGATGTTGGGACTTAGCCGATCAAGCGGGTGTCGCGCCTTCTTGGCTCTACGTTGACACAGCCTGATGATTGATAGCGCATATCCGAGGGGAGACGACGCAGATGAAAACCCCGTGGCGGGAATCTAAAAAATAGAAAGGATTAGGGAATTATTGAACACGTACTTACCTGATCAAGCGGGTGTCGCTCAATCTCCGAACCTGGGCGACTTTGGGAGGCAATTGTTATCAAGTCCCTGATAACAGGCGATGGTGAAGAGGACCCCGTGGCGGGATTCTGAAAATTGAATTATTTAAACAAATTGAGGAACCATATAGTCGTTCACGTTAAAGATACTTACCTTCTCGGTAGAAATAGGGCAAACCGAGTGGCAACCGATGACTTATAGGACAAATTAGCGTCCCTCGTAGCCCGATTATGTATCGTTCGGTTACAACCTAACCTTATATTTATCATATCTAATCTTATTAACAATAAGAAAAAATTCTCAAGACAAATTGTACTTTCTACAATATAATAATATTAGTCAAATAAAAAAAGCCTTTGATGTTTTATTATAAATATTATATATTATTAAATATATCAGATTTTTTTAACTTTGAAAATTTGTGTATTAGGGGATACTCAAAAAGATCCTGATTATTGCCTTATCAGGCTTGCCTGATTATATACAACCAGGCATGCTTGATATGGCACCAGTCAGGACCTGATCTGGCATGCCGTAGTCAGGCATGCCTCATTTATACCTGATCAGGGCCGTACATGACAACAGGCACGCCTGAATAAATTTCTACTCGGGAACGGCGACATAACAGCGGGCGGCGAGCCGCACGGGCGAGCGCAAACGGCGATGTGACAGCGGGCGGCGAGCCGCGCGAGCCGCGCGAGCCCGACGATCGCGGCGGAACACACGACAAAATCGACTCGAAATCGACTCTATTCAATATATTAGAACATTTCTTATAAAATATTTAATTAACAATTGTTATGTCCGAACGGGGAGATGGATGCGGGAAGTGAGAGACACTCGATACACACTTTTCCACAAAGTCCTATTTATTTCGTGGTATGACAATTTGGTACTTCGCTTCGTCGAGCGTGTGCCTCGCACGGCAGCCGGGGGAGAAATGTCGCTTCGCGGAGCAAACGATAAGGAGTCGGTAATAACTCGTTCGCGGTTACCGCCGCTACATCTCCTCTCTCTCTAAATATTGCTTCGAGTTTCGTTTCTCTTTTTATTTATTTGTTATCCCCGTGATACTGTCGGCTTACTCTTACTCATTTTGTAAATGGAACGAACTAAATAACATTTTTATAAGTAATAACAAAAAAAAGAAACAATATATATATATATATATATATATATATGTGTGTGTGTGTGTGTGTGTGTGTGTAAATTCCTCATATAAGGTAACCAAAGGGGAAAACGAGAGCGAAGAAAAAAAAGTAACTAAAGAGGAGAGAAAAAAAAATTAACTAAAGATATCATTGCCACCTTTGACTAGAGAGGATACGGCCTTAGAAGCGTTCAGGCATAATCCCACGGATGGTAGCTTCGCACCACCGGCCGCTCGACCGAGTGCGTGAACCAAATGTCCGAACCTGTGGTTCCTCTCGTATTGAGCAGGATTACTATCGCAATGACTGGTCATCAATAGGGTAAAACTAACCTGTCTCACGACGGTCTAAGTCTAGTGTCGCGGTGATCTGGGGCAACGGGTAGGCGTCCTTTTCGGTCACGTCGTTCACCCGGCGGAAATCGATGCAGAATCGCGGTTTGCCGTCCTTCTTTCGCACAATGACGACCGGCGAGCTCCAGGCGATGTGCGAAAGCTCGATGACCCCGTCACGGAGCATTTTGTCAACCTCGGCGTCGATGATAGCTTGCATCGCTGGGTTACGCGGCCGATATCGTTGTTTAATCGGACGGTCCGTCTTTACGCGGATAACGTGCTCGGCACGGTCGGTGGGGCCCCGCACGACTTCGAATTGCAATAGTTTGTCGGCCAAAAAACGGCGGAGGCGTTCGTCCTCCGGTGGCGCGTTTCCCTTGGACAGGTGCTCTACGGCGGCGGTCCGCGTTTCCGTGCTCGGCGCGGTCGGGAACGGTATGGCGAAGTCTACTTTCATCCATAATTCGACGCCGAGGAGTAGGTCGTACTCGAGCATCGGCATAATTTGAAATTGATGCCAGAACATCCTCCCTTGTACAGTAATTGGAAACGTTATCAAGCCCGGAACGGCGGTGCTTGACCCGTCGGCGAGGTACACGCGCCCGTCGACCGGTTGGATCGGAAAGTCACGGGCGAGCCTCTCGGCGGTGCGCGCGTTCACGAACGATGCCTCGGATCCGGTATCTAGTAAGGCGTCGACTGGCTGTTTTGCCACCACGACGGTTAGGAACGGGCGCGGTTTGTATGTTATTCGGAGGACCGGGGGACGGCCGCTTCTTCCCCGGTCCGGGCGGCATTTCCTGGCGGCGGGTGGCAATCTTTGGTGAAGACGCCATCCCGGCCGCACTGCGAGCAAAACCGGCGCGGCGGTCGTCGGCAATCAAAGCAGGTGTGACCCCGCTGCTTGCACCGCCAGCAGCATTCGCGACGGTCGTAAGCTGCGGCGGCGACCGCGGGTTTCGGCACGATGGCTTGGCGGGCGCACGTCTGTTCCTCGATGTGTTCGAATTCTTCCGCCAGGCGCAGAATGTCTTGGGTGCGGGTTACCATGTCGCGGCGAATGTACATCTGGTACCGCGGATGCATATTGTTGTACAACGCCTTGATCTGGTCGTCCTCCGCGAATCCGGTGGCCCGTCGCATCATCGTAAGCATTTCGGTTGCAAATTTCCGGTAGGGCTCGTCCAGTTTCTGCAAGCGTGTTTGTATCTCGCGGACTAGTGTGGCGCGATACCGGCGCGGCCGGTAATATTCGCGGAAGTCGGCGCAAAAGTCCCCCCACCCCTGCCAGTTGGGGCGGTTGTTCCTGCACCAGAGAAGCGCGTCGCCTCGGAGTAATTCGGGTAGCCCCATTAGTAATTGCGCCCCGGAATAATTATAGGCGTCTTTCAGTTCCTCGAGCCGCTCAAGGAAGGTCACCGGGTCTTTCCCGTCGAAATGGCACCCCCATTTACGTATCTGATTCATGACCTAGGCGGGTGTCTCATTGGTGCGATCATTCGCGGTCGGGCGGAAGGGTCCGAACGGTGTCGTCATTGCCGGCGGCGTGTGGAAAGGCAGGTTCAGCGATGGCGGTGGGCGCGTGTCGATCGCCGGTATGCGTAGGTTCTCGGACGGGTGCACGGAGATCGTGGGTGCAGCTGGCGTCGGGCTGCCTCTCGCGACGGTGGATGGCACCGTTTCCGGATGTTCGGTCACGTACGCGCTTAAGCGCTGGCGCAGCTCGTCGACCGAGCCGTCGGGGTCCAGTTCGAGCTTGTCGAGCTTTGCGATAAGCTGGCTTTTCGCCAATTTATATATCCAAAATCTAGGCATGCTATATCATTGATTACTGTCTCTTGGAACGGATCAAAACGGTCCCTGTTCGGGCGCCATGTAAAGGCCTAACTTTATCGTCGAACGCGGACTAGTTTGCCGGATCAGGAGTTCGACTAAAAGGCCCAGAGACAATAATCAGTTTAATTGTATACGTAATGATTTATTCAGTATTAGTCTACAAAACGATGTAAACGCGGTATTCGGTATAACACATCCGGAACGGGTGGAGTTAAACGATATGTTGCGGGACGCGGTATATTACAACGGCGGGATAGTGCAGGCGCACTCGGCGCGGTGCAGCGAGATAGCGAAAACGCGGTATTACAATAGTGTACGGAACGCGATATATTACAACGGCAGGATAGTGCTTGTGCACTCGGCGCGATGCAGCGAGATAGCGAAAACGCGGTATTACAGTAGATTACGGACTCGGTATATTACAACGGCAGGATAGTGCTTGTGCACTCGGCGCGATGCAGCGAGATAGCGAAAACGCGGTATTACAGTCGCTTCTAGCGCGCGTGGGACCGCGTAGTGCATAGCGGAGGATTTCCGGAGCCCCGGGGCGGCGGCAGCGAGAGCCTTCGTTGCGAGGCCAAGCATGCTCGACTCCACGTAACCGTGCCGTCGGGGTTGAGGTGATGGAGTGCGGGGACACCTGAGAGCACTCAGTCGAGACTCGGAGCTCCGAACCTCGTTGGTGTGTCGCCCTAGGATTCGTAGGATAGGCTTTCGTCCGGAATAGCGGAATGCTGGCGATCAGACAAAGTGACTTGCTTTTTTTTTTTTTCCGATGTCTACGTTACGGTACCCAGGAACTAGCCTACAACCCGCATATAGCATAAACATAAATAAATACAATAACAAGTAGATCTTGGAAGAACGTTTCGTTCCAGAGTGAAGCGTTTGGAAAAAACTTGCAAAAAAAACCATGTCAAGCAAATTTAGTAAGAGAAGAAGGGAGTAAGGGTGAAAGGGAATTAATATATCAAATAATACATTACATCTAATCATGTAAGAAATGCTTGGGCAATCTACATCTTATTCTCATAGGAACATCTCCAATGTCGTAGTTGCCAACGTCACGGATAAGCGGATTATCATGCTCCGGATTGTACGCTTTATTAACCATATCGGTAACAACCTCACTAACAGGCTGAATCTGAGCCTGAACATGAAGGTCAGCGACCCGCGTGCCCCGAGGCAAATCCAGAATAATTCAAAGAAATTTGTTTTGCAAAATTTGCAAGCGTTCAAAATAAGTTTTACCCACGGGGGCCCACACAGGAGCAGCGTAGAGCAAAACCGGTCTGGCACAAGTCTTATACAAAAGCAATTTATATTTTAATAAAAGATCGCTTCCCCTTGCAATAAGAGGGGAAAGCCTCTTCATAGCGCCATAAGCTTTAGAGGCTCTATCACTAACAGCAGGACCCCAGCGAAGACCCGTATCTATTTTTACTCCCAGGTATTTAACCACCCTGGACCATGGAACGTCAAAATTTCCCATCTTAATCAATGGAGGCAGCGGGAATACCTTGCGGGTAATAATAATCGCCTCAGTTTTCTCATTGTTGATGACCATCCTCCATTCCCGAAGGAATTGAACGATGGCATCAACGTGCTCCTGCAGCCTAAGGACAAGCAACGCCGGACACCACGATGACGTGTAAACGGCTGTGTCGTCCGCGTACACCGCCAAGCTGGTTTTAGGATTTCTAGGTATATCATTGATGAAGATGTTAAACAACACGGGTCCTAGGATGGAACCCTGCGGTTCCCCAATAGGGACATCAAAAACGGAAGACTGACCCCCCTCAAAGCAAATAAAAAAGGAACGATCCTGAAGATAAGAGCGTAAAATCTTAATAATAAATAAAGGCAAACTCAAAAGATTTAATTTATATAATAAAGCCTTATGCCAGACAGAGTCGAAGGCCTTCTGAATATCCAACAGCACTATGGCTGAACTACGTTTTTTGTTAATTTCCATTGCAAAAGCCTCCGTTACTCTGAGAAGCTGCTGAACAGTGGAATGTCGCGGTTTGAAGCCAAATTGTTCATTGATTATAATTTTATTTTTAGAAAGAAAAGAATAAATTTGAGTTAACAAAACCCTCTCATAGATTTTACTGAGCGCGCTTAATAGGCTAATTGGCCTATAATTTGCAGGAGAGGATTGAGATTTGCCAGGTTTAGGAAAGGCAAGGACTTT